GCAAGTCATGATCCTCCACATGCCAAGCAAACCAACTAAACATCATGGCAACATACACCATAGGCGAAGTCACACCGGGTATTTCCTCCTTCATAAAGGTCAACAGAGACCCTTTAGCCCTAGAAACGCCTCTCATATTCCACTCAGTGTCCCCAACTGTCACATTAGCATTAACATTACTCCCCTCGCCTCCCCCCTCCTTTCCACCCCTTCTCGGGGCAAATGCCGAGCCAGGCATATCATTTGCATACTCTACTGAAAAGGGCTTATCCACAATGGCTTTCCAGTAAAGAGTTTCAATCTCTAATGGAGTCAAACATTTCTTCCTACTCTTTTTCAAGTAATTCCTTTCAAATGCTTTTGCCTTAGCCTCAAATACTTCCAGGGTATAGTTCTCCCCACTCTGCCACACCGGTTTCTGAACAGGGCGCTGTTTTCTTGGGCAGAATCCGATCTGCTGCTGCCTAGTGGTAAATGTAGGAGAACCAGACCGGGCCACGAGTGATTTGTTAAGGTTAGAAACGGCAGTTTTCTTGTGAGGTGCTGGAACAGGGGGAACAATTTTGCAAATCCCATATTGGGAAGCTTCTTTTTCAATCTTGAAAATGTAAGCAATTGGATCTTGAAATTCAGCTAGGGTTGGGTGATATTCTGGAGCTACAGGTAGGGTTTTAAGCCAAGAAAATACTTCAATATTTCCACTGGCAACTGGGGTTGAAGAAGCTTCTGAAGCCATTGAATTAAATTAACTAAACTAACCAAATGGCAAAATGGGATTTTGTCAACAGCTCAAAAAATGGATAAAAATGCAATCTTTTTCACACAAAATTACACCAAAAATGGGGAATCTTTACATTTTTGGTGTAAATTTGTGCAGTTGCATGGCTGAAATATGTTAGAGATCTGTCTTGGGGTTCAAAGGGGTAGTAGCATTTTTGGTTGAGGGGTTTATTCTAGAGAGAAAGAGAAAGAAAGAAGGCCAGAAAGAAGGGCAGAGAGCAGCTGTTGAGATTCTCTATTCTCTCATTTTTCTATTAGGATTTGATATCAAATATAAATTCAGTGCCAGCAAGAGAAAGAGGGTGACCTACTGACCTATTCCTTTCCTCTTTTTTTTTCCTTTTTTCTTAAAAAATCTTTTTGTGGGGGTTTTTTTTGGGGGTGGGGGGTTTGATTTATTTTGTGCTCTGTTTTTTATGGGGAACAGGGAATGAGAGAACAGGGGAGGGGCTGAGTGAGTAAGAGGCAGAACAGAGGATGAAAAGGTGAAAATGAGAGTGTACAGTGTGTGAGAGAGAGTGGAGTGAAAACATGTGATGTGAGTGGGGTTTTATTAGGGGTTGGGGGGTTAGGAGGGGTGGTGAAAATGACAGGAGAGTGTTTTTTGGGTTTATTTACTGTTCTGCCACAAGATTTTGTTTTTATTTGCTGGTTGGACGATGGAGATAGTGGCAATGGGTGGTGGAGTCAAGTGAAATTGTGGGGTTGTTCTTTTCTTTCTTTCTTTTTTCATTTTTACTATAGGGTGATGTTCTTTGAAAACTGAATAAGTCTGAAATATTCTTTGAGTATATTACAGTTAATCACATGTTAAATGTTGCCTAAAAAAACTAGTCCCATAGTAAAGGTTAGTTGGAGTTTAACTCCTCTAAGAAATTCACCCCCACTACTCAAGCACCATTTGTTGTGTAGCTCTTTCTATTTCTTCTTTGTTCTTTTGTACCAGTTGTGTAGGTGAAAAAACCTAAAATTTCTTGCAAATTTAGTCTAAATTGATTCTTTTTTTTTTAAATTGATTGTATTATTGATCATAAGTTTTAGTTGTGTCCATGCACAATATAAATATCCAACTAACTTTAAACATGCATTGAAAATTATGGAATGTTTGTTGTATATTTGGTTAAGTTGATCAATTTACATATTAGCTTTGTAATGCGTTATTGCAACTTTTTTCCAAGAAAAGAAACGCGATATATTACCTTGCTGTGAAGAATAAATTGTCATATTTGATCTTTAAAATTAATTCTTTTCCATTTTGAGTGTTATTTAAGGAGAACACTATTCTTTTTAGGAAACATATAACGATTTGATCACGCTGTTATGATTAGTCATAAGAAGAATTAGAAATCTTCGCTCTTTTGTTCTTCAAGAATCAGAAAAAAGACATTTTCTTTATAACAAAACATTTTGATTTAAACCCTTTGGTGCTTATGTTCCTCCATACCATTTTCTTTGCATGATTGCTATTACCAGTCCCATAGGATATATCCCATTAAATTAGACCCATTTTGCATTCATCAAAAGTACAAAATTGATCAGAAATTTTCGAACAAATCTGTTATGTAAAATCTATAATTTCTCCTCTTCTTCTATCCATCACAATTTCATATGATAGCCTTCCACCAAATCGATTACTAAACCACAATTTTGGACTTCTCGTAAACAAGAAAAATTCAGACAAATTGCTGCAAACATGGATATAGAATCAGAACTGAGTGAAATGTTTTCCTTTTTGCCAGGTTTTCAACATCCAAAGGGGAAGAGAAGTCTATAATTGTACCCCTATAAAAAACTTTAGTGGAGGAAAAGGTAATTTAACCTTTATTTTGGCCGTTCAGACTACAACAAGAGTTTTTTTTCAGGTCAAGGACAATATCTATCCCTGGAAACTGGAATTTACTGCCGGAGGCATAGCCAATCATAAGAAGATGCCCCAATGTGTGGCCCACACTAATTGAATGGCCCCACCAAAGCAGTAGCCCATGCAAGAGCTAAGTCCACTTTGGATGATGCCCCCCCGAGTCCAGTTCACCCCTTTGACAACAGTCTTCAGTCTTCACCGAAGTTGACCACATCTTGGGTAACATTTTGCAGTAAATTTAAAGTCTTCCTGCGAAGGTCAAAGGATTAGCAATTAGTACCAATCAGCACTTTACCAACGTAATTGTGGGATCTCGAGTGCTTAGACTTCAGATAAAGCTGCAAACGAATCGAGCCGCTCGCGAGCAGTTTGAATCTGAATTCGAGCTGACCAAGTCGAATTCAAACTCAAATTCGAAGTCAAATTCAAGTTAAAAAATACTAAGTTCGTTAGTTTGCGAGTCGACTTGAGTTCGATTATATATATATATATTATTTTAATAGTAAAATTATATATATATTTCTAATATTTTATTATTTATTAAGAAAAATTATTATCTTATTTATTTTTTAAAAATAAAATAATTCTTGTTTTATTTTTTTAAGTTCAAACTTAGATATTTTGATCTCATTGAACTTGAGTTCAAATTCGAGATTCGTAAAATTATGTTGTGACTCGACTCGAATAAATTGAAACTCGATTCGATTCGACTCATTTACACTCTCAACTTCAAGTTGCCAAGAAGCATCCCTGTTGCCCTTCCCCTCTTCTTATAGCTAAGAAATCCAAGTAATTAGTAATTTAGATGTGACATGATGGGATTGATGGGACAAAATATATTTGATGTGACCTTTATCAAGTTTATCTAACATCCGTCATCCGATGAGAATATGTCAGCTCACCCTGTAAAGATAGGTCGGTTTAAGTAGGTAACTCGAATACCAACGAATTATACCATCTTACCACTATGAATACTCTCTCCTTCAACCTTCTGGCGGTAATTGAATCTGTTCCAAACCTATTAATTGCTCACTTCCGAACTTCTCATCTTCTACTTCGATTGCTAATTGAATTACACCAGGGGTGATGCCCCGCTCTGCGACCTCGTTTTGTTGCTGGCAGGGTGACCTTCAGGAGACGTTTGCACTAGCACAGGAAAGTCCGATGCGTGCCTGCACAGTATGAATCATCTAGTTTTACACGTTGATATAAACTTCATGCAAGAGTTGGCTATGATATGCCAAGAAAATTATGAAATGTTAATTAGAAAAGTTTTTGTCATAGGAAAAATGATTCAATTACACCCGCGATAAGACTTGTACTGCTTAATCGCGTGTTACTTAAATTTCAAAACCTATGCCATAAAATTTTTTATACGAGGTTTGAATGTAAAACATAGGGATTAGAATGAGAAAATAGATATTAATTCGATTCTGATTAAAATATACATAACTTTCAAGCCTTGATCAAGTCCAACTTTAGAATTAACACGTTGCAAAGTTTTTCATATAATTGGATATTTGAATTTTATGAAGTATAGTGAAAAACAACAAACCTTAATAATGGAACTCTCAAAAATCAAGGTAAATTAGACAGTATTAGTGGTTTAATGCTGATTTATTACGCTTATGCAAGTTGTCCCATTTCTTAGAGATAGAGGTGGATTTCGTGTTGTGTTTCTTCATGAAAAAACTTAATATTTAAATTTAAAGATTAATCTTTTCTATACAGTCAATGTATCATATCATTTGATTTTGAATTTGAACATTAAATTTTGCATATGTAGCATGAATCAAGATAGATACATCATTTGATTTTGAATTTGAACATTAAGTTATGCATATATAGTACGAATTGAGACCTACGACTGTATATACTGTCAGTATATAAACTTATCTGACATTTTAGTCAATGATCTCGCATAGCAAACAAAAGTTTTTGCTTTTACTCCAAAATTTACCTACTGTAGCAACCTTTGTATGTTAGATTCCTAGCTTGTACGGCATGAAATGCTGTCTATTAGTTTTTTTCTTATTTCAACTGTTATTCTTTATAGTAAATCTTATACGCACTGATAATATATATACTATCACTATTAGATTTATAACAAATGTGCAAAAGTTAAATTTCAAATTCAAATGTTGCTCAGTTATCGCTCATTCAACGCTAACCGTCAGTGTAAAAAAGATTAATCATATTCTTTAATTAAGCAACTAGGAGCCTAAATTATAATCTTGAAAGGGACAAGATTAGAAAGTTTTTGAAGCACCATTTCGTTATAGATCAAAAAATAAGAAGAAATACCAAAACTCTTACAGCTTAATGGATTGGAGAACTGTTCAAAAGAAGCATCAAATAAGAGAGAACCCTCTATTCTGAATCGTATTGGAAGACTTGATGCTGGTTTTGCTCCATGCACATGCATGCACAGTACTAAGCCACTAAGCATTTTAATCAACGATGATGTCTTTAACATTTGAACTCGAAAGAGTGTGGTAAATTGGCTAAAGCACTCGTACAAATTCAGGTTAACGAGACAACTAGACTGCAGATTTAAAGTCTTTTCCTCTCTTTGAAACACGACGAAAAACATGCACGCAGGAACAAGTCATTGGAAAGGTTTCCACCTATCTACAAAGAATGATGCCACTACAAAGTGTCCACACAGGAGCTATTAGTAGCATCAAGAATTTCCTACCATCTTCAACACTAGCTATAACTTAAGTCTCGGACTCACAACTCTTGGCAGAAAGTTCCAGGGATAGTGGGCAGTGGTCACTTCCGTAAAACCCTGCAAGAAACAGTTCTTTGTTAGTACAGATGCCAACGAGTACCTGTAAGCACCCAATCCTTCCACCTCTCCATAAGGAGGTTGAACAAAAATAAGCCCAACAAGAATGCTGCCTGCACACACACACACAATACATATATATATATATGTATGTACATATATATATATGAGAGAGAGAGAGAGAGAGAGAGAGCAGATGTTTGACTTCATTGGAGTTGGTAAAACATGACATGCTAGAAAGCTATAAGACTAATTTCAGCAAACTAAATCTTTGCTTGTTTCCAGCAGGGGGATGGCTGAATGCATCCGTTTTCTTCAGTTTGACAGAAGACAAATTTCACAGGTATAATCACAGCCAAGATGACTGAATTCCTAATTTAACTATAATAGCAAACAACACTGACTGAAATGTGTAATGAGCTACAACACCAGTTGCTCACATCCACCACAAGGAGTTGCAGAACACCACAAACACTCCCCGGCACTCCCCCGCCCCCCCCCCCCCCCCCCCTCTTTCCAAAAAAAAAAAAAAAAGCCCAATGATTTTTTACAATAGAAATGAAAAGCATGCAACAAATTGAGATGCTGTAAAAAGAATAGGTATAATAACCTCCTAACCTCATATTTGAGAGATCTTTTACGAGGACAAATTGAGAAAGCTCGAAAAGTGTTCCATCTAAGAAAGAAACGGGACTCTAAATCCATCTCTAATCGCAACAGGACATTATCCCAAAAAAAAAATACTGATACACTGTGTCAGGATACTACAAGTCACCAAGCTGAAGTAAAGAGAAAATGAGTTAGCATCAAATACCATCTAATTCAATTCCTTGCCCATGCATCTCACATGAGACGATTCTATCCTTAAGTTTCTCTGAAACAATGAAATAGTCAATTCTCATCCTTTTTCCACGGTACCTGCAAGAAATGAGGACATAACCCAAGGCATAAATATCAACATATTACTTTAGTGACGGTCAAAATGATGCATTCTCTAGAAAATCAGTTTTTCAAGAACAACTGCAAGAATAATGGATTACTGGATAGCAGCATATCTCACTTTCCAACAGGGTTCCCTGACCATGAAAAGCCACGCTCCATGTCCTTCTCCTTATGCAAGTACCTGTAGGCATCTACTAGCTTTCCCCTAGAACCACGCAATTTTACCGAATCAATGAATTCTGAGCATGAAATACTCTCATAAAGTGATAAAAAAATGTGTGTCAAAGACCATGTAAGTTTATTCACCCAATTAACTAACACCACTTAAAACTTGCCTCAGAAAAAGGGGAAAAAAAAAAAGGTTTCCCAAATGGAATGGCACATGTAGTTTCCCAAACCTGGGGAAACTAGGGTATTTTTTCCCAATAAATTGGTCTAATAGAAATGCAATTATCTCCAGTTCTTGTTCTCAAAGCAATTAGGCTGCGTTCTACAGGAACATCTACCTTCATCTTACGACCCCAGACAAAAAGAAAAGGACTACCAGATCATTCATGAGAAAACTATGGCTAAATTTCCAACCATGGAACAACTTAAAAATCCAAGACATGAAATAATGAGATTATATACCAGACCTGGACCCTTACACTGCAGTTCTTTAGCACCTTGGAAAGCAGACTAAATTTTCAATTGTGTGTCAACATGTTTTGGAGTTCGCCACTCAGGAAAATGAATGCCATAGATGAGTTTACACTTCAACTTGGACAGAAATTTCAAACAGAAGAGAATCAATTCCAGCAAAGACAAGTGGTAATGAAGTAAAAGAGGCAACAAATGGTTAGAATTGTATCACCAACTAATTATTCAACACTAGGAATCCATACAACTAGTTCTAATGGAAGAAAACAAAGACAAAGTCTTGGACTTCTTGGGAACTTGTAACACAAATTGAATAACTGGTAAATAACATTGACTTATGAAAACAACTAATATTTGTCTAGCTTGGTGCCATCTTTTTACATTTTTAATGACTGGAATACTGCATGAGTTGAGAGTCCTATAGAAAAATGTTTATCACAAGATTTGCTTACTCTTTCAATATAGCACCAAATCGCTTCCTTTCAGACAGTGTAAATCCAGGCTGCCCAGAATCCTGTGCCATAATTCAGAAAGTCATAGAGGTAGTCACAGTTGCTGGCGTTGTAAAGAACATCTAAAATTTTATTCAGTTTTACTTTTATGAACATATCAACAAAGTATTGAGCTTATATGTGTCTACTAAGAGATATGAGAGATTAAAAAGAAATATGACTAAACATCACGGAAATGGTTCAACAACTTAAGAAACCAGTAATAGATGTCATGAGCCACATATTTGGCCAGCTGGCATCCTTTATCACTTCCAATCACCTATCTAGATTAAGGGTCTCCCATGTACACTTGCTGTGAGAGGCAGTCTAAAGGACACAAAGATTGATCTTAAATAATTTTAGTTGGGTCTTGTTATTTAATCGTCCTGATCTCCAGAAACATGTCTATTTAAATGCTGTAAGAGATAAAACAATAAAATTCCACTACTACTTTTTTTTTTTATCATGCTGACTCAAATACATTTTGATTTGTTGTTCTCTACTACACATTGGCCTAAATGCATTCTAATTAGTTAGGCAGTCATTTAACTCAATCAGACAAATGAAATACTGGATGCATAGATAATTGTCCAAATTGTGATGATAGTCGAAGTTACACACTGCTGATAAATGAATTGATACTTACCTTAAAAAGAATACTATGTGAGAGTTATTACTTTTTAGTATATCTGTATGTGGTGAAGTTACAGATGGAACAATTATCAGAATTAATTTCAAATAAAATGATAGAGGTACTTATTGTAAGAATAGATATACGTATACGTATGGTTTCTTATCATATTTGTGCATGTGTGAACCAGAGATGATGATGTAGTTTTAAAGTGTAAAAAGCCCCTAAGGTAATCACCTCTTTGTTTGGGGGGACATAACCATTAAGCTTTGCTGTGCTGAAAAATTCTGGATGGCTCACATCTATATCCTCATGACTGTGAGATGACAAATGAAAAGAAGACCATTATCCAAAAAGATTCATACAAAGTCAAAAGTAGTTGGCCAGTAAAATGGATATGCTATTCCACAGGAAATATTACTATTCCATGGGATATGAAAAGATGCCTATCATAAAAATTGGGCTTGCATTCTAGGGTTCATGTAAAGCAAATTTGCTTCAATGATAGACAATGAATGTATTGCACCTTAGTCAGATTCAACCAGATGTAGAAATTGACGCTGAATTTCAATATTATTACCTATTACTGTAGGAGTCTCCTCATGAGACACAAAAATGTGACACCTTCAGTTCACGTGTCCTTATGGAAAGACAGAACAAATCAGATATATTAACTCCCTGTATACTGTTTGTTTTTAGTAGCTTCAAAACACCTGCAGTTGTGGAGCATCATTGATCCTAATAACTACAGATTCTGATCAAGAAGGTTCACTAAGATTTGCACACAAAATAGACATTTGCAGGTGATTTATTAAGGTCTCATATGCACATCAGACATTTCTGGGTGGTTATTATTTGAGGAGTGATAGTGAGAGCCAGAAAAACCTGCCTTTTGTTTCAAAATAATAAGGGTGTGGATAAGTAGACAAGGTATCAGAAACCACTCGTAAAATTAACATGCTTGAAACATCACAAGTAAAATGTGCTCCATGACTTCAGTCTCAAACAAAGCTAGCATTTAGCACCAGCACATCCTATAGTAATCCTAAAACTGCTATCTGGATTGTGATCAATTCATCCTCCACATTATGCTTCTATAAGTCCCTACAACAGGCTTATAGCAAGAAAAATTGCATAAAATGATTTATTTACATAACTAAAGGGGTACACTGAAGAATATTTTTCTTCGCAAGAACATAAGTTAAAAAAAAAAGCAACCTCAACATGAAGCAATTACTCTCACAATCCAACGGCCAAACTTTCCAGCAAAAAAGTCAATATAATATTTTCAACGGGGAACTTGCTAATGATTATATACTTAAAAAAGGGCAGGAATTAAAATAATGGAACAATGTACCAAATGAAAACAAAGGATATAGAGCACTGGTGATTCTTTGTCATATGTTTCTTTTGTAATCCCATTAAGTACCAGTTTAAAGATTTTAGCAAGCAAAAGGCAGGTACCTGACATTGAGGTCACCGCACCAGATAAGAGGTTTGTCTGAGTTTTGCAAAACAAACTCTAGCATCCTCTTATCCCATTTTCTTCTCCTCTGAAAAGAAGTTTCCTCATCTTTCCAACCATTGTTCGGCACATAGGTATTAAGAAACCGGAATGACTCAAATTCAGCCAAAATTACCCGACCTTCTGGTTCATGCTTTGAACCTAGCAATAAAGAAAAATGTAAATTCCCTTTGCTTCTTGTCGCATGTTCAATATAGTAAATTACTAAAGCAAACAGCAAATCCTGTAGAATATCAGATTACTGAAATTTCACAAAATTTTTTCTATAGAGTAAAAAAGTCCCGAGTAATCTTTCCTTGGCACATCAGGCAATTCCATATTGTCAAACTTTCAATAAAAGCTACAGTATTATAAATAAAATTTTGAGAAAGTTAATGAATAGAAGCCCAAGGCAGGTGGTCTAGAAGCAATTTTTTTCCCTAGGTTGGTTAGCCAGAAAAAAGTAGTTAAGATTTCCTACCAGAGCCACCCACATCAGTCAGCAGAAGCCCATTAAAGATTATTGATGGTGAACTGGAATGTTTGGTAACAAAATACCAAACATTAGGGAACAGGTTTTAAGTGCAGGAGGTAAGGTTTCAATAATTGAAAACTGATACGAATGGACTTGCATTAATAAATTACTTCAATGACAAATTCAGCCACATCCTAATAGCAGCTGGAAAGCATTCCAGGCATTGGTAAGTGGGGATGAGTTTAAATTAATGAAAACATCCCAGGTTGGCAAGAGTTAAAATTTGACAATTAATCATCTGAATATCCCACAAAGTTTTTGTAACCAATACAAAATCGAAGAAACAAAACAACTCAGACCTAAGGTATCAGGAATATATATACATATAAAAGTAAGAATTCTTCCCTATTAGCCAATACAAGGATATATCATCTACATATGCATAAAGGTTGAGACTTGGACAGCCAGGAGTCAGAGGTACTCGTGTTAACCTCGAACTTCAACTAAACTATCCCTTACCCCTTTATCTTTTAAATAGAGAAAGATACAGATCGTAAGAAGTGACTGATACTGAAATTGCAGGAATTTCAAAGAATGCCAAGTGTAGAGTAAAGCAAAAACTCTGAATGGCAAGCCAAAACTTTATCCACCAGAATAATATCAAGAAAGGGAAAAATTTACAAGACAAAACAAGGATGTTTTGGAATGCTTTTGTTAATGTTCGTTCTTCAATTGCAACAGGTTAAGAATGGTAAGCCTAACTGATTTTAACACTAGAAGAAAATAATTCCACTTAAACAGATTTGACATGAAATGACTGGTCAAAGTTTTGACAAAACCAAAAAATTTAAGCACAGAATCAGAAAATTCAAATGCAAATACTCTACAGCAGTTTGTTAACATTTTATTCATAAAGAGTGGGGCTTACTTCTATTAAAACTACTCAAAGATGAAAGGCAATGGAATCTACAAAAATCAAGTAGATTTTTGAAAAAGCATACCTAGTTCATCTTCAAAAAATAATTTGAAAAATTGAAATGAGTAATTTTTAAATTGGTTTACTCAACCACAAACCAAGAAAAAAACCTGATCATTTTGGTACAAAAACTTACCAAAACCAACTTAAGATTTCTTGAATGTAGTGGCTGCGTGGATTCAGAGGTTAGAATCATGTAATTTGCATCACTTCCACATAGGTAAAAGTTCCTCAATAAGAAGAAAAAGATAGATCAATATGCCACTATACCTGTTCGATCAAGTGAGAAAGAGACCTTCTGTGGTTTGAAGCACTTTTTAATAAGTAATGCAGTACCAGCATACTTAAAATCTGAAAGAGACCACCAAACTGCATAATTTCGAAAAGGTGGACTTGATAGGGCACGCATCATAACCTACAAAATCACAGACCAACAGAGACTTGATTTGATAATACTGTAAATAGACAATTTCATCTTGCAGACTAACTGGAACAGGGTCATTATTGTTAATCATATCACTGTCAGATCTCAGAGAATTTAGCAGAAAATCAGACATTTAGCCACTCTGCTGATGCCAGGGACGCCACTTGTCTGTCCGTCAAAAGAATAAGTTCCAGTGTATCAGATCACAAACTCTTTTGCAAATGGTAAACATCACAAGTTGGTAAGATATAGTCATGATACATCACTTGAGATCCTCAGAGAGTTCCTAATATGAGAACAAAATGTAAAGCAATTGAATCCAACTCCATTTCTTTAAGATCCCTTATCTTGGTCAAGTTTTGGAACCTGAACTTATCCACAAAAGTTCAGTTCTTAAGCACTAAAGGTAACAAAAACTCTAGCATAACCACATAGTATGTCAGAATGTCGTGTTAAGGATTTTGATCAATCTTCTTTATCTAATATTTTCATGGAACCTAATAACAATAGTTGAAATTGATTTAACTTCAGACAAGATTGGAGCTTAACCTCAAATTCATATTGTCCAACTCCACTTCAGGAAAACTTTTCATCCCGAGCACTACATGCTGTATATGGTTACATTGTGGGAAATAATGCAAGCATAATGGTATCAACTGAACACTGCACCTGCTTTTCTTCACGTGAAGAGCTTGTGTCATCTTTCAACTCTCTAGGATTTTTAGGTGTTCCCTTGGAGCCGGCTGCAGGCATCCTTACTTCCTATTATCACCATGACAATGAAAACTTTTACTAAGTCCCAGAGTGACTAACTCCACATCAGATAATAATGATGTGTCAAAGATGGAATGTGATAGAGAGACAAATACTGATGAACCATGTACAGAGATCCATAAGAGAAGATAAAAAGGGTCCAGCATAAATTTAGGAAAAATATATGAGGAGTCAGGGTGTGCTTCTGTCCATCAGAATTTGAATATGCATAACCAAGATGATAGACTTCACTAATCCTTAAACATCATCCTTGACAACTCATGGTTGATCCAAAGGTAGCAATAAGAAATGGAAATAAATAACAATGTGGATCGACTGTTATCAAACAAGCAGCACAATTCACTTGATTAAGGAACAATTTTGCAAGACGACCGTCTGTTAGCCTGAAAATATAAACAGTCAATACACTCAAATGCTCCCCAGGTTGTGAAACGCATTAACAATTACGTGACCATCTAACATCCCTAACTCCTCCGCCCCCCTTCCCAGCCAAACCCAAAAAAAAAAAAGAAAAGAAAAAGAACGAAACAAGAATCAACCTTTGCACTTAATAATCTGCCAAAATTAAGAAAAGACAAGGTACTCGACCATGCTTGCTCAGTAAAAAACAATAAGAACTCATCAAGCATATTGACATCAATTAACAACAAATTATTGCGGTCATATTAACAGTGTAACTTGTTTTTCTTTTTTTTTTTTTCCTTTTTTTACCAGAAAATATCTATTAAAACCCATTTCACATACCTAAAATAACAGACCAAAAAATTAAAACCTCTCTTCCATGAACACATGCATAAGCCAAAAAAATCAAAGCTTCAGTTCCAAATGCACAAGAAATTCCTCCACTATTCATTTAGCACAAAATTCAGGTACAAACTAATGATTCTGAAGGAAACCAAAAAATTTGGCAACAGCTAAAAAATAGAGAAAAAGCAGCAGGTCACCTGTATGGCGATGATATCAGGGTCAAGATTCTCCACGAATTTACTGAACTCAGGCCAGTCATTCTTCGCTCTCAAAAGAAAGCTATTAGCATTCCACGTCAAGAACTTTAAAGGCTCCTTATTGTCGCCATTCTCTGAAGAGATTTCTGCAGTTTCTTCACCATCATTAACTGAGGAAAAAGGGGAAGAAGCAGAGACATTGGCTTTCTTGGAAGAGCCATCTTTTTCCACTGGTTTAAAAAATCTCTTCATCTCTGAAAAGGGTCGAATTCTCTACTCAAAAACTCGAATCCTAGCTGTTTTTTGGTCCTTTTTAAGGAGTTCTACACTATATGACGAGCAGAGACTGGACTGTACAAACGTATACGATTATGTTAGTACTTTTTTGGTAGTGAATAGTGGTACCGTACTATATTGGGGCGAATGGGGGAAAGGATACAACTTTGGGTAATACAAATATTGCCCCTGGAATTGTCTTCTATTGTGCATATTGTCCCCTGAAAGTTTTTTTTTTTATAACTTTGAAGAGCTAAATAACTTCTTACAAAGAAACTAAATATAGGTGAGAAACCTTCATTACATCAAAATTCAACAAACTTCTAATCCTATCAGTGGGATAGACGACTGTTAAATCCCTAGATTTTGGCTTAAGTTTGCTCTAGTTGAATTTGTGTGGACATATTTCATTGAAATTAATCGCATTTTATATACTATTATCATTGGATAAATTTAGAAATGATAATATAGGCTCGAATGCTTATGGTTTGAATATCCAATGAATATCTATGAATACCTTTCTTAATATCTAGTTTTAAATTAAATTTTTAAAAAATAATATATGAATTCAATGGTAATATAAATACAACCTAATTACCATTTTTAAAACACAAAATCAACATTCAATAATTGTTAGGTAAAATAATTATGAATTAATAGAAAGGATGAAATATCATCAAGTAATTCTATTTGTTTGAAAGGAAAAAATGCATTTTTATTCCCAATGTTTAAGGTGTTAATCAATTTCGTCCATAAAGTTTCATACAAAACACATTTCATCATCATAATTTTGTAATTTTGACCAAATTTGTCCCTAAAGTTCATATAGAACACATTTCATCCTCATAGTTTTATAATTCCTACCAATTAAGGACAATTAAAGGATTGTTAATCAATTTAGACATAATATCATCACATGTCCCATTAATAATTGTATTATTAATACTTAATTCAATTATTGATTAAATTATAGAAATAACAATAATTGTTTTTTGGATAGGAGACTATCTCTTTTTTTTTTTCCTTTAAATTGTGATATGTTATATTTGAGACTAAATAAATAGATTGAAAGATAAATAGATAATTGAAAAACATAGATATAATGCAACAAAACAAAATTTTGCAAATAAATGACAATCCAAACCATTCATTCTTTTACATTAATATTTTTCTCCAATTAGTTATAATGGGTTTGTTTGATATTTTTCTTCAATTGGCTATATTGGGATTGTTTCTTTCCCACTGATTTCATTTTCTTTGGATCTTTTTGTTCGATTGTGATTAAGAAGAGAGTAATGGTAGTTAAAAATTTCTTAGTTTTTTTTTGTACTAAAATGAGAAAGTGAATTAAGAAAAGATTTTTTAAATTTTTTGTTGATCCATTGTTGTCTTTTTACTAATGGGCATGTTGTGATCAAGTGGCGCTATCCCATTTAAATTGCCTGACAATCTACCAACTGTCCTCGATTAGCCAAATTTAGGAAACGATGAGGATGAAATGTGTTTGCATAAAACTTGAAGGATGAAATTAATCAAAATTATAAAATTATAAGGATGAAATATGCTTTACATGGAACTTTAAGGATGAAATTGATTAACACCTTAAATATTAGGGATAAAAAGTGTATTTTCCCTTGTTTGAAATTTGTCTATACTTAAAGTTTTATATGCTTAAACCTTATTTACCCTAATTTTTTTTTAATTTAAAAGTTTGTACAAATTACTTTGAACTTGACATGTCACGGACCTCTAGATAGAGAGGGGTGCCATGGAGAACACAATTTTGGAATCTTTTTTATACCTAAATTAATTATTGAAAGATGTTTTAAAAAAACTAGTAATTTTAAGTTGATTTGAAATTTTTTATAAGTAATACAATATTATAAAACGTAAAACAATCTGGGTTTGGGGGCATATGTAGAATAGAAACTAGTAACCGTAGAAGAAATTATTTGCACTTTGGGGGCCTAAATAACAGTTTGGTCAGACATGGGGAGCTAAATTGATAATATCCCCATGTCCCCAATTTTCTGGCATTCCCTGTCATTAACTTGCTGCCTTAAACCCTAACTTCTAAAACCCCTTCCCAACGGACAACTACCCACCCCCTTCTTTCTCGCCGGTGGCCTCCGCCCCTGCCCTTCCACCGCAGCTCAGCCTCGCCCACCACCGGACATTGCTACTGAACTTCAACTTCTTCCATAATCGACTCTAGGAAGCAATCAGCACTAAGCTCTTCATAGCAAAGCTGAAGAATTCATCTTTATTCTAGTTGTCTAGTGAGTGCAATTCTTATTCTTTGACAATTTTTATGCATTTACACATTCGAATGTGTCTAAATATTTCTTTTTCGCAATTCAGAACGTAAATTGGGAGCCAAAATGGCACCTTTATTAATAATAAATAGTAGTAATGAGAAATGGCGGCAGCAACCCTCTTCAGTTCATGGCATTTTCTGTTATATATTATTCAATGGTGTATTTTTATATTAATTTCGTGCTTTTGTAAAATTGGGCTGGGTAAAATAAGTTGGTTGGGGCTTTGCTGGATGAGAAAATTCGTGTTTCATTTATATATTGAGTTGCGTTTTTGGATATATCATACACTCCTGACTTGTTTCTTTCATTGCACAAGATCGAGCTTTTAGGTCTCCTAGATTTATACAATGAATCTGTGGGATTGGTTTTTTCATTTTTTTTCACATGTAAGCGATTTGAGAATGTAGTATTTTAGTCGATTTTAAGGTTTAGTTATACAAATACTTGATTATCTGCTTCTTATTTGTCTGCATGTCAGTGTCTTTTTTGGTTTCCGGGCTAAATTTACACCTAGCCAGTAATGAATTAAGTTCCATTTTCATGGTATGATATGTTTCCTGGGTAATTTGCACAGTGAAAGATGGAGCAGAGATTAGCTAATACGTGGCGGATGACGGTGAATGAGAAGAAATTCATTGAGACTGCCTTGCATTCTGACCTTAGAATAGATGGTCGACGGCCATTCGATTATAGAGAGCTTACGGTCAAGTTTGGTAGGTGAGAATCATTTAAAAAAGTGCAATATTAAGATTGAATGGGTGCCTTTTGCTCATTACTGCACATCATCCTGCATAATTCATAGAATATGAACTCATGGTGTTCTATTTCTCTCTAAGAATTGGATTCAGCTGTTAGAACCAGTTGATATTCCCACTTCTCACCCCCTACATTAAAGTCATGCAACTTCTATTGGTCCTTGAAATTTTTATCTCCTCTCGAACCATCGTGCTGGCTTTAGATTGTTTCTGGTTTTAGCTATTTACCTTATTTAGTGGTTTGGAGACATCAGAAGGTGAAGCAAAAGACACAGGATAAATGAAATGAGTGGGAGAAGTATCATGACTTCCTTTAACTTCGCTCTTCCCTTTTATTTGTGCTGTACTCAAAGCTTTTCTGAGGATGATCGTGGAATAATTAAAATTGAAGTCACACTATATAACCATTTAATCGATTGAGTTCCAAAAGTATAATGGTTACGTCTTCCAAAGAAAACTAGAGTCCTTTTGTGTTCCATAATACACCTGAGTGTTTTATATTTGCTATGAGTAACAATTATGAAATGACCAAGCTTTGATCCAGACACTATTCCAACGCGTGCGTCCTTCTTTGTATTCTCTTTTCTGAGAAAAGATGATTGATGTATTAGCCTTGAGGTCAAGCTAAATATGCAGAAAATGAAAGGAAAGGTGGTGATACGTAGTATTAGGACTTCCAACAATTTTCCTATCAGTATTGTTTTTCCTGTTGATTGTATAGTAAATTGTGCCAATTTTCTGCATTTCAGTTGGACTATAGAAGTATTATAAGTAAAGATGCATTTCCAGTTTTCATAATCTGTTTACCCGATTTGGTTAGTTTGTATGGTATTCTACTACTTTTAGCATTTGATTGTGTAATAATTACAACACCTGATGCCATGATAGAATTATAGGTTCTTTTATGTTCAATGATCGACTTATTTCCATATTTAAATGACATTTTTTTCTAGGGCATAATGGTTTACAGATATATAAAATTTGGAGTTTTTGAGGTATTCTTACAAGTTTTTAAAACCTTATGCATATAAGTTTTGTGTTTTATCTACTATGTGTCGCATATACTTGCCCTAACTTTTAATAGAATGTGTGAGAACAGATTGTTTTGACTCTGAAGTTTACCAAGTGCAGAGAAGATGGCTCATCAGAGGTGCAGCTGGGCCTGACACATGTCATGGGATTCGTGAGTTCCCAACTGGTGCAGCCTTATCGAGATAGGCCGAATGAAGGAACCCTTTCAGTCTACACAGAGTTTTCGCCCATGGCTGACCCTTCTTTTGAGGCGGGTCGTCCTACAGAATCTGCTGTAGAATTGGGGCGTGTGATAGACCGTGGATTAAGGTGAAATCTCCTTTCCTTTAATTGTCTAGTATCTCAAGGAGACTTGGTTCACTGAGAATTAATGATCTTTTTTGGCTAGGAAGTATCTGCTAAACAGGTTTGTAGAAGCATTGTGATATTGACTTGTAAATTGTGGAATATAATTCATCTCATGACTTGACAGTGGTGGAGAAACCAATTTTACCTCAATTAAGGAAAACTGTTAGAGAATAAATCATCTCTAATCATATGCGTCAGCAAATATCAGATACCAAATGTTTTCTTGGTTTTCTAATACCTGTATCGAGCCTTGGTTTTCATTTTTCCAATCTGTAAATCTTAATGACATAAGTTGTATTCACCTTGCAATTGAATGAGCATTTCAAGTGATATTGAAATTATAGAAATATTGAGACTTTTGAAATCTACTCCCCTTTCGAGTTCTTAAATGTCTTTATTATATGGATCAGAGCATTGTGCAAATTTAATATTTGATCTGGATTTCTTTATACTCAATTTAGTTTGAACGACATTGCAGAGAGAGCAGGGCTGTAGATACAGAATCACTGTGTGTTGTTTCTGGGAAGTTTGTGTGGTCAATTCGTATCGATCTGCACATTTTAGACAATGGAGGGTAAGCTGTAAAGATATGCTATTCCTGTATGACAAAATAGTCCATCTCTTTCTATTGGGATTT